CCCATCCTAATAAATAACCAAATTATTCCTCAAAATACAATTAATCTCCTCCTTATCCCATACATCCCTTCCGCCAACGCCTTTACCTCTGTAGTAACCTCAAATCCAATTACCGCCCATCATGTCTGTCGAGATCGATTCCCAAGAGCTTGGCTTTCATCGTATGCTGTCCATCTCCTGCTTCCGCGGAAGGCTTTCTAATATGTGGCAGGTCCATTTACCACCGAAGTGTCGCAAACCTTGAGAATTAGAAATCCCAACCATACTCCTGTTGGTTTCAAGGTAGGGAGATCCCTTGGCACTGTGGTTTTGCTTGGTGTTCTCTGCTTCGTTGTCTCCAAATACTGACGAGCTTCACATTCAACAGGTCAAGACTACTGCGCCCAAACAGTTCGTTTTACCATGGCCTCGTGCCGTCGAAGCATCCCTCTAATACTTGCGAATAGATACTGCGTGCGACCAAATTCCGGTAGACTGGAGCCAGGAAGAAGCATAGATGTTACCGGTATGCGCCAGTGAGGGTCGACGGAAATACATGGCTGCGACTAATCGTACGGGCACAGTTCTCTTACAGGCAATGAAGGATGAGCCACCTCTTGATGCAAAGTGTAGAGATAAATTCCTGGTCCAGTCTTGTGTGATCACACCAGATCAGGAGTTCGCAGATTCGCCCTCAAACGTAAAATACCCGCCATCTATATTCTACGGAGATTCTTCTCAAATGGGCTTATACTAACTGGAAATGAATCTAGCATGTCGATCGAGCAGAGAAGAAGGATATCCAGGAGAAGAAAATTCGAGTTGTTTTCTTACCACCAAAGTCAGCTGGAGGAGCAGCACTTACGCCTTTGCGAAATGGTGTTAATGGAGCAAACAGCGTGGTATGTTCTAGTCCCTTGTGTCCCATTCCCGAGGACGGCATAATCTAACACCAAACCCTCAGGTTTCAACCCCCGACGCAGCCCCTCCAGCCTATCGATCCCCATCTCCCGAAGAACATTTTACCCCTGCAGCCAATCGTGTGGTTTCCGGAAACTCAGGCCCAGCCCCATCCGTCAGTGTAAATGACGAGCCGATCGGCAACTACAATCTCGGTGACGCCCTCTCCTCTGCTTTCAACCCCGCAGTTGGGACCACCAGAGAAAGCAACGCTTCCGCCGTCACCGCCCCCACAGGTATTCCAGCCTCTGTTGAAGAACTCCAAGCCCAACTCGCCGAAGCAAAGAAGACCATTGCATCCTACGCCGAACAAGGTGGTTTGAAAATGAGAAAAGTAGCAAATGCGGAAACTTCAAACGAGACAGTTAACGAAGTGGCTACTAAGTTGCAAGGAGTAGAGGGTGTACCCGTACAAGTCGTAGCGGCTTTATGTTTGCTAAGCTTCCTACTTGCGTATCTCTTCTTCTGATCTAAAGTTGGATTGCTTGCTTACTTGAATTCGACTTTTGCCTTGTGATTCCTGGTTTCTAAATCTGAAGGTATTCAGCGTTTTACTTCTTCTTTCATGCTTGCATAAGAAGACGGACACGAAGCGGGATAATTGACGTTGGGGGTTTTCTGGTGCTCTTGGGTGCTGTCTCTGTGGCTCTCGTACTCTTAGGTACTGGATACTTGGGTTCTGGAACTATCTCTTGTAGTAGCACAGCTAAACACAAGAAAACTCTCTTAATTTACGAAGACATTCCCATAACTTTTCTTGCAGTTCCTTTCCTTTACTTTCCTTTACTTTCCTCTTTCTATCTTCAAAGCAAATCTGCAGCAAAAACCATTGTCATTGTATTCCCCCATGTATTTTGTTGCTTTTTCTTCTTCTTTTTCTTTCCAAGTTCGTTCTTTGACTACATCGCACTTTTTTTTCCCTTTGTTCTTGTTGTAAGCCTGTTGAGTTGAATTGAATTGAATGAGTCTGGGAGGGTGGTTTTGAGTTTTGCCGTTCAGGTGATATGTACTGGTGGACTTTCTGCCTTCATAATTTTTCTATGGAGGGTGATGGGAGGTGGGACGGCATTTCCCAGATGGTCAGAGAGTCTCTTGAGTTAGCCTAGCCTAGCCTAGCCGTGGCTGGACTGGACTGAGCGGGGGATTGAATTGAAATGAATTGGCAATATGGTATCAGATGTATGTAGCAAGAGAGATTGCCTACTTAACTAGGTAGGCAATGTAGTGCTGAGATGATGGGGTGCTACATAATCAGGTGGCGAGAGTTGAAGTCGAAATCCCGATTACATTACTTATTATACATGATTGAAGAGCATTTTGACTTTGTTACATCCCCACGCACTCGAGTAACTCACGAGGGAGCACTATAAAACTAAAATCCATCCAATCCGAGAAAGGCCCTCTAAGCCTGCACCTCCTGCTGTGTCCATCCACCCACCTTCCTTCCCCCTTCCTTCCTCTTCACCCGACACGTTATTCCCACCTCCTTATCCCACACAAACTGCCATATCACATAAATCCAACTCTCATGTCTAGGCAACTCCGCATAGAACTCCTTGGCCATCTCATGGAGGGCCGGTAATCGCGACCAAGGAACCGCTGGGAAATCATGATGTTCATTGTGCAACCCCACGTTATAGGTAAAGAAATTCAGAGGACCGTAATAGGAATATGTCTCGGGGATTTCCAGGCCGGTTGTGGGATCGCGTGCGGCGAGGGGTTGCTTGGTGAAGACGTAGTGTTCGGCGATGAAGTGGCCGGCGCAAGGGTGGAGGGAGCCGGCGAGAAAGGCGGAGAGGATCAGGTAGTAGAGGGAATTGTAGGAGCCGGTGGCTTTCACGAGGATGATGTCGAAGGCCACTTGGGATATTATGTTGAAGATGTGGATGGAGGTGAAGGGGACGGTGTACACGAAGATGGGTCGGAGGGCGTAGAAGAGGATTTGGAAGGTGCAGAAGAAGGCTTTTCCTAGCAGGGAATCGAGGAAAATGGCTTCGAAACGTGTGGGGAGGTCGGTGTCTAGTCCGTCGACGCCGAGCGACTTGTGATGGGTTAGGTGGTAGGGCTGGGGTACATTAGTTTCTTCTTCAATCAATCCAATCCCATCCTATCCAACTCCAAAGTTCCCGAAGAATAAGAGAGAACATATAGACATACCCTAAAACTCGCCGAATACGGAATCCCAATGGGCAGATTCGCAAAAATCGCCAATGCCCGGTTCAAATTCGCATTCCTAAAAGCTAAATTGTGTGATATTTCATGGATGGCGAGGAATAGGTTTTGGTTTGCCGTGGCCCCAATTATGTATGCGGTGAGGAAAAATTTCCAGGAAAGGAAGGGTGTATTGCGGAGGAGAGTCGCGCAGAGAATTTGGATTGACACGACGAGGAGGACGACATATTTTGTGAGAGGCTCGGGTCCGCAGAGTTTGGTTACCTGGGTGAGGGATTAGCATATGTGTTTTGGGGCAAGGGGAAAGGGGGGGAGGGGGGAGACAGGGGAGAAGTACTTCGGGATGCGCTTTGATGATTGCTAAACGTCTGCTGCGGTGAGGTTCCTCGGTGTATGTCCAGAAGAAATCGTGTTCTTTTACTTCAATATCAACCTGTGGAGGGATGATCTCCTCTGCTTTTCCCGAAGCCTCATCTCCTTCTCCATGAACCCTCATTCTTGGAGTCGCGGATCCATTGGATATCGAGGTCGTAATTGTAGATGTGGCTACTGGCGGCATGATGAAGATATGTTTGTTTACCACACTCTGTTGTATATTGTACGTGTAGGGACAATATACTTGTGTGTGTGGCGTGGTCAGAAGAGAGAGGGAGGTGTCAAAGTGGACTTTTCGATCACTCGAGACTTAGCGTACCGTATAAGTTTTTCGGGTACAGCCCATTTTCAGGGGTTATACAAAGTACAAGGGTCAACAGGGTTCTAAAGGTTCTAAAGGGTGATTGGGTAAGGTTATCGTGAATTGCGTTTCGCTTAACCTTATCGGTGGTATTGCGTTTCGCTTAACCTTATCGCGTCTATTAGGTAGCCGCCGTAGCCGCGTTAGCCAACTTGTGCTGACAAGTTAGAGGGTAGCTAACTAGATTTATATACACGAATTCGAGGCCTAGTGCTTCCAGTCTAAGGAGAGTAGATTCACCTAAAGCGAATACGAATGGAACGTTGCATATAGTATTTCTCAAAGGAAGACCAGATACAGGAACACGAGACACTAATTCCTCGTCCAGAGCCTATTCCCCAAAAGATATATGCGACAGTGAGGGCAAGAGATCCAGCTCTTCCATCGCAAAAAATGAAATCCGCGTTTTCTGAAGCATATATTATTTGGCGGATTAAAATAGATTATTTGTCGGATTTTTGAGTCAAACTAGCCCTTAAGGCAGACGTAGCAGTCCGTTATTTTCAATCGAGGCATACATACCTGCCCCGGCATAAAAACAAACATGGCAAGCCTCCCAAAACCACTTTCTAACGTAAAGAGGCACCTTCATTAAAGCATAAGCTATAATCTATATGTTTCCTCCAAAGTTCCAACTCATCATGAACGCACCTGCTAGCCATCTTCCGGGTTTGATGTCCGAAAATACAGTCAATAGCTTTCTGGTCTTCTTTTGCCTATGAAAAGCCATCAAGATTGTCTTTCTTGTAGTCATTTCCCAGTATCATTCAGCCTACATGATCAATTTAGTTCTCAACGATAAGACAAGAAACGTCGAATTAGTTCTCTTAGTCTCATGTCATCACATATCCCATAATGAGGTTGGCGTCATGTCGTGGATAGCCAAGAATACTACACTTGAATGAATATCATTGGATTCTTTTCGAGTTATGCCCAACTATAATAACCACTTGCACATGTAAAGACTTCCATATACAGTACCAGATGCGCAGTATGATTTCTGATTGATTTGGCATGCCAACAAATACCACCGCCAATGCATCTATAACATGAATCCACCCTCTCTGAACTTTTCGCCTACCGAGAAACCCTCCAAATGATGCAGACTCCCCTTATATATCCAAACTAGCGTGAGTAGTACATCAAATAAAAAGGGAATGTAGCTCAGTTGGTAGAGCAAATAGCTCTTGTTCTAATGGGATGAATTACACCGCTGGTTGTGGATTCCCTGAATATGCAATTGCTAGGGTCGGGGGTTCGATCCCCCCCATTTCCAATTATCTTTTTTCTTCTTTTTTGCTTGAGTATCTGTTCTTTGCTCTTTGCTCTTTGTTTTTGCTTGTGAGTTGTCTTCGTTTTTGGAGGTTGGGGGGCAAGGAGGGTATGCGGGTTGGGCTCCACTGTTATTTCGAGTGAGTATGTAGGGATGAGGAGGTTGATTTCTCCTTGGTTGCTCTGCAAATTCTTGATTGGTCACTGGAAATACATTTAGAGAGATTATGGCTTATTACTTGATGTATTTCCTACTATAATTGTCTGTTACGATTAGTAGAATTCTGAAGATGATATACTAAACACCTTTCTCAGCAGTGACACAGGCAATAAATAGTACACTTGGCCTTATTTGTGGATTCTTTAACCAAAATTTCTGAAGGCACATAATTATGGAGTGTTCTCAATTTCACTTCGAGAGCTCAATCAATGAGTATATGAAGACACAAGTTATAAGTAACATCACTTCATCAGTAGTGATTAATTTCAAGAAATATCAGGTTGTAACGTAGTTTTTTACCTTGAGTCATTGAGATCTGTAGCAGTTACTTATGATTAGACAGTTGTTTCAAACAAAAGGCTCTCTCAATATTGTGTGAAGTGATGGACGATGCAACTCTTGAGCTAATTCAAAAATGCCCCTTACATGTGACCATATTACCCGAGGTTGGATTACCCGAGATTTAGATCAAGGGGCTAAAGTGAAAAGACATCAAGTATTCCATTCTGGCGTCAAGCCATGATCAAATGCAACCAGCATCTTTCAGTTCGCTGACGATCATCGTGAATTGTCAGAGTTTGGAAAGTATCGAGTCTAATAATAAGATTCATTTGGTTGAGAAAATTGAAAAACATAAATACATCTTTTTGATCACATCTGGTGCACTGATGTCTTTGATTGTTTGCTGGGGAACTTGTAATTTCTAATTTTATACAATGCATAGTGGATTAGATTTCTTTCAAGGAAAATTGACAGTTTGTATAGGTATTAACTTGTGCTTATTTGACATATAGTCAAACTAATTAATTTTGCTTTTGCATGGTCACATACATCAATGTCTTACATGCTTGGCTAGCTGTGCACTGGCCCAATTCTGAAACTGTGATTATCTAGAGCAAGAATTTCTGCTGATTGTAAAGAATAAGATCAGCTCTTCTCACTATATGCATTAAAGATCCAGGTAGACTGATTAACAACAAATAAATAGCTCAAGAAAGGGGGTGTGGTCTAATATGGCGCTTGAATATGAGTGTGGTGAACTTTGGAGCCTTATAATCTCTTGTAATCACGATGGTGCATAAGAAACTACCTACGTTGAGTTTATGTAAAGATAGCTCAAATGTATCCGTCCCTATAACTTTTGTCTTGTGAAAGGCTTCTTTTGAGGAGTCCTAGGAGAACGAGAGGGGAGAAGAGGCTTCAAGAAGAGGCAGGAAGGGAACATGGTAATGTATTGGGTGAACAATTACCACCATTTTTAGCAGTCTTATGGGGCTACGGAGTAGTCTTTTATTTCCCTTCCGGCACAACCTACCGATATCTCCAGTATCACATAAGCCACGAGAGTATGAGATAAGTCAGTGATGTAGCCCCTGGCAAGATTTCCGAAAAAGGAGTGAGTGAGCGGGATGCCATTTCATGTGGCAACAGTTAGTTGATCAGGTCCCATGGAGACTTTTCCATGAGTGTAGATGAAGATGATTAGATTCTATCCCATGCTAGTTCCTTCATTTTCCCTTTTTTGATTTTTGCCTATGGTAAGACGTTTGTCTTGGAGTGGTGGCTTATATGAGCCTAGTCAAACGTTCATAAGAGCGACTCTGGTGAGCAATGACTTCACCTGAAGAACATGAGGCGATGAGATAGTTCAGTTCTATCCATCCCCATTCCAACTTGTATTACTTTCCATGAAGATCTCTTTTCACTTAAGATCTTTGTAGTTGTGTACTTTCCTCTGGCTATTTTTGCTGACAAAAATGAGTAGGTAAATTTCCCATGACCGCAAAGCCAGTGTTTTACTATGCTATACTCGAGTTTATTGTGATGTACTGAGAGCAAATAAAAAGCATAAAGCAGGGTATATATATGATTGACTGGCCAAGACCTATGCCTACGTAGGTACTGCTAGGGAGTTATGGGATGAATGTACGTCTGAACTCTACCGAAAGAGCGGGAGATGTGAGTTCGGTTCTCACTAGGCCTATTTTCTCTTTTTGGAGATACTTTGTGACATGACTTATATCCTACTGCCCTACTTTCTTGAGGGTCTTTTTGCGAATCCATCCAGCCAGCAAGTTATCCTGGATATGGTGGGGATTAGTTTAGCGGACGGTAAGATGGTTCCTTCTGAAAGAGGACGTCAAAACACATAGCCTACCTACCTATTGATATTTTGTCGCGATACGATTCAAGTTGGGTTATGAGTATGGGGGATATTGAATTCATGTCTCGCTTTGCCCGCATGAGTTTCCTTTCGAGTGTGGATGGTGGAGATGACTTCCCTTCCATCCTGTGATTTTGCGGGGCTGTTCCGTGCCGGAGAACTCATGATCTTCGTCTCAAATATCATAACATATCATATTCAGAGGGTGAGGGATTATCCAATCTTGGAGCATTTTGAACAGGTTCACTCTCGATACTCAGGAGCCTTTCTGACGGCGCGCAAGATGAGGTGGAGATAGAGGGAGCAAATAGGGAACGAGGGCCGTGAATACTTTGATCACTGCAGAACTGATCACTGATCACTGATCACCCCTCTTAGTTCTAGTCACCACATCGGATACCAAAACTCATTTATGACCTCAATATAAAATCAAGCCATAACGAGACTACTCGCGTGCCTTTTCGGAATGCTTATGTTTCCATACTATAGAGGATCTATCCACAAGTATCCAATCCATCCACCCGCCATATATCATTCTGATTGGAAAATAAATCCCCATCGTAAATTTATTAAACAGCCCCAACGCCGTGAATATATATGCCCTTTTCCATTTCCCCATCATCATGCATGCAATGCGAAAAGTGAAGTTTCATTTTTGGTAGACTAGTAGTCATCACCGCGACTGATTACCTCCTTGCAGTTTGGCCTGAGGACGATTGTCTGTTTATCTTTAGTGAGTAGTCCACAGGGATAGTAGCGGGAGAGGAAGTCTTACATGTTCGAATTGGGCGGTGTATGAGCCTTTCTTGTCAACAAGTGGCGGGTAATCTTGAACAACACCACTGGCGACTAACGCGTTCAACTATTGGTTGTTAGATTTATACGAGCAGTGTGCATGAATACAAGACTTACTCCGAGCAGATACTTGTCTTGGCCTAAACGGTCCAAGTATCTTCTACAGAAAGGTAGAGTACCAAAATTCTTGTTGATGACGTTGAGAAGCTTGCCAGCTGATGCAATACGTAACGGAACGTTAGGAGCATCGGCGACCTTGGCGTAATGAGAACATTCAAGCTATAAATGATCAGTGACAGTGGCCGGGGAGTCCTCATAGAAGCACTTACATCATCTCGAACATAACCATTTCCGGTACTTCCAAAAGTTTCGATGGCGAAAACCTCTCCTTCTTCCATCTTGGTCTGATCATTGCTCTTGACAATCGGAACACTCTTTCCACCATGTATCTTCCACTGTAGGATATCATGACCGTTCAAGTTCCTAATTGGTTTGACTTGATAAGTTTGACCCTTGATCTCAACCTCGTAACTCTCCATAGTTTCCTGAATACGCTCGCCAATCTCCCCCAATCTAGCATCAATTCCGGATTCTTTAATTCCGGTGTTGGTGGCTTGCTTAACAGCCTCGAGAAGGTTGTCGTACATGGGATCGAACGCAATAGTGAAGGCACTGTCCACAATTCTACCATTGACATGTACTCCAAAATCGACCTTCATAACATTCTCATACGCCAAAACGGTCTTGTTTCCAGCATTCGGGCTGTAGTGAGCGGCAATATGATCCAGATTGACACCAGTTGGAAAAGCAACACCGCCCTTGATATTATCTCCCTCCTCCAATCCTGGGTGACCAGTCAAAGCTCTCACGCTATCCTCAACTCCTTCCGCGATTTCCGTCAAAGTCTGCCCGGGCTTAATATTGGCTTTCGCATATTGTCTGACTTGTCTGTGGATTTCGGCAGCCTGTCGATATTCCTGCAAGAAATCATTGTTCATGCGATCCAAATAACGTTTCTCCTCGCTGGTGGTTCGGTAGTGGTTTTCGTCCCTGTATTCCACTTCCTCGCCAATAGGGTATTCGCCGCTTGGAAATAGATTCGACAGAAGAACTCGTGGAGGCGACGATTGAACTTTAGGGCTGGCTCCGGCCTTCTTCTTTGGCTTCTTCTTCCTCTTTCTCTTCTTCTTAGCTCCTTCCCCCGCACCACCTTCTCCATTGCCTGGCTCCTCTTCATCGTCATCTGAATCTTCTGCTTCGACGTGCCCATTTCCACTTGACCTGGCCTCAGCCGCAGACTCAATCACTGCATTTGGATCCTTCACTAAGTCTTTGTTAGATCCTATGAAGAAGTAATGTCGCAAGCCCCGCACAGAGGGGTTATAATTTGCCTACCCTTCAGGTTTTTTAACGCATCAGTAACCTGCGCTGGCATCCTGACCTTATTATCACGGTGCAAAATGTATGTGATTGCCTCTTTTTTGCGTGAAGAATATATATATAACAATAATGTTGGGATTATAGAATAAGAAAAATAATTGTTTAACAAAGAAATCTAAAGATTGACCTTTCCCTGCGCTAACCGACAAGTCGATAAGGTTACTCGATTATTAGTCATCATGGGTTGCTTGCGAGTCTATGCCGTCACTTCTTCTCATGAAAGTTCGCTCAACTCTCAACTCTCCACTCTCAACTTCTCAACTCATCATTCTTCATTCTCTCCCTCCCATATAGCTCTCGGGTTCAACGATGAGGAATGCCACTCCATTTTCGCCCCTCTCCTTTTGCTTTTGTCATCCCACGGTTTCCACCACAGCAGTTTTCT